CCGCCGCCCCCCCATCGACGCCGCCTGCGCCTCTCGTGGCGGTGGAGTACAGGAGTCAACAGGAGAGTGCTCGGGGATCGATTTATTGCGTCTAGACTAGACACGATAAATCGACCCCCGCTGGATCGATCGCTGCCCGCCAATCCGGTGGATAGTGTAGACACCCTTAGTTCACTTTAAGAGTGTCATAGCTTAGCTTGTCAACTTAAATGAAACCAACCTACCCTTAAACTGAAATAAGACTGTCTACACTGGGTTTTACATTGATTTAACAAAATCAGTTTTTAAACTGAGTTAAGTTAAACTAGTACAACTTCTGTGAATAGATAAGCCCCAAAGCCACTTTCCAACACTCTGGCAGTGTAAAGTGTTCTTTGTCAAATACTTATAAATCTTATTTGCACTGAGGAAACCAAGCATGGCTTTTGAACATGGCAGTGTTTCTCCCAGTAGCACATTTATTTACTAATGCTATTGAATTACAGGGGCCAGATTATCAGTCAGTGTATATCAATGTAGCTCCAGAGACTTCAATGTAGCTATGCCATTTTATGCCAGTTCATGATCTGGCCCTGAGTTCAAAAATGGTCCAAGCTATAGTGCTCGAAGGAAAACCTATCTGTACCTTGAACTTTAAAGGGTCATTTGATTTCTCTCTCCCTTTTCCTGTTTCAGCTAATCAGGAGGTGCAGGAAAACCAACCCAACCCAAAGGCCTACATTTGAGCAAGTCAAGAAGTTATTGTACAAGATGAATCCTAACAAAGTTAGTCCAGTTGACATGATGATGACTCTGGTAAGCTTAATAGAGTCTTAACCAAACCAGAAAACAACCCAGGCAGGAGTTAACATACCCACCTGAAACTGCTGCCAGCTCTCCCTTCTAATCACTTGGAATGGTCTTGTCCTTTGATGTCATGCCCCTTGTTTGCAAAGAAGAATAACAATCACTCATTGACCTCTAGTAGAATTAGCTGTAGCTTGAGCTATTGTGGAAGCTACAGTTAACTCTGAGTTCCAGCCCAGGTTCCATTCTAGCCCCTTTCCTTCAGTTCAGTTCTCAATTTTGTTTGGGGCTGAATTAAAAAATAATAATGTGACAACATTGTTTCTTAAAAATGCAGGTCTGGAAATCCTGTCCTCCCTCCTCAAGTGCAGAACTTCCCAGCTGCAGCAGCAGTTGAAGCCTAGTTTACTATATATCAAGAGCACAGCTCTCCAGAAGCATCTTGAGTGCTATTGCACAAGGCTTTGGTGGTGGGAATGGGGCTAGTGGCTCCACCATCGATTGCCACTCAGAGTAGGGGTGCATAAGCCACAGCATGGCCTAACGCAGCTCTGTGATCAGTTGGTGGGGGCTTGTGACTTAGGTCCTTAGGTGGTCCCTGCAGAGGGTCTCAATGCATGTCTCTGCAACTGGTACTGTGCACTGATATCCAGGACTTGGCTCCCAATAATTATGTAGAATTTGAAAGCAATGGGGCAAATTCTGCCTTCAGAAGAATGTGATCTTACTGATTTCCCGTGGGAGCCATGAATGTACCTAAGGACAGAATTTGGTCTAGAAAAAAATAATCTAGACCAACTTTTGACCTGTGCCCATCTAAATGTTACCAAACCAGAACCAGCCAAATGCTGAACTGCCTGCTGTTTATAGACATGAACATCTTAGTGAATGGATTATATTATGGAATCTGTTTGTCATGCTTAGATGGAGAAATACAGCAAACACCTGGAAGTAGTAGTTGCAGAACGAACCCAGGACTTAATGCATGAAAAGCAGAAGACTGATCGTTTATTATATAGTAAGTCAATCATAGTACAGAAAATATAGGGTATTCTGAGCAGTAATAATTGAAATTTAGCTTTCCTTGTGGCAAGCAATGGAAGAAACTACTTTTTAATAGGTAATCCTTTAATAGAGTTCCTCCATGCAAGATTCAATAGATATTTATCATTTCTTCATAGTTCCCCCACCCACATAAATACTTTTACATTGACTAGTTAATATTCCAGCTTCCTCAACATTCTGAGACCCTCTTCTCTTGCTGAGAATGTCAGCCTGTGCAGTTCCAGGCATGCTGGAGGATCCTGGTGCATAGAGGGGTTGGGTTCTTTCATAGATTGTGCACTATAGAATTCACAAGAAGATGGGAATGAGAGGACAGACAGAGACAACAAGGGAGAGAAATCAGGAAGGAGAGATGGGAAAAAGGAGAGAGAAATGAGGGAGAGAGAAAAGACCAGAGATGAAATACACAGGAGAAGAGGAGACAGAAGGCAGGAAAGAAGAGACAGAGGAAAACAAAAGAGAGGTAAAGAAAGATAGAATCAGCGATGGGCCTGGTTACATCTAGACTTCCCCTGACTTTGGAATGTTTAGCTCCCAAGCTTTCTTCTAGCCCTGAATAGATCCAGGGGGCAACTAGACAAGGATTCAGAAAGGATGTTTGATTCCAATTCAAGCCTCTCTCTAATAGTAACACTTGTTGTAATAGTAATAATTAGAATTCACAACAAGCAGCACATATTGGGAAGTTCCGACGTCAGTTACGCTGGTGTCAAACTGCTGTAACTTCATTGATTTCCACAGAGTTACTCTGGATTTAGCAGGCTGTGAGGACAGATTTTATCCCTATGTTTTTTCCAATGTCAAAGCATTTTACATTCATAAACATTTCTTTTGCTTTCTAGATCTGAATGGGGAAAAATCAGATTAAGCTAAGTTTATCCTTTTCATGTATTTCTCACCCTACAATAATAGTTGACAATCTCGCTTTATGCTCTAAAATAGGTATGTTACCCAAGCAAGTAGCAGATGATCTGAGGCAAGGAAAACCTTCACAAGCCCAAAGTTACGTAATTGCCACTATCTTTTTCAGGTAAGTGGAAATGGATTTAGGACTATAATTTACTTGCACAAAACAATTGTGGTCAAGTCACTTGTAGAGAGGAGGCAAATAATGTCCATGAAACACAAACATTAAACTTTTTATTTGAGTGAGACCATAAAGGAGGTTTGCAAATTTCCACTTGTGGAAAGGAGTGCTGTTAAAATGCAATGGATGAAACCTTCGTTCCAGGCACATAATTTCTATCAAAGCTGTGATCGCTGGTAGGAAAATGGCAAAATTTTCCTCAGGACAAATTTGTGAATTTCTATGAAAGGTCACAAAATTGCCATTTTTATGTTAAAATGAATGAAGTGGAAAGCGAGACTATCACATGGCTGCAAGTCTAGCACTTGGTAATACATCACCTCGAGCAGTTAAAAGAAATATTTATTGCCCAAGTTTGGACTAAGTAAAGACATCAGGATCGGTCCCTATTGGGGGGGGAAACAATACATACCTCAAACATGTTTTCACAGACTTTATTTGGCTTTCGGCATTGAACAGCATGGTAAAAGGTACAGTGGTGAGTCGCTGTCCAACAATTTAAAGAGCCAGCGGCTCAGTCCATGACAGAGGTAGGATATTATGTCCACTTTTTCTTGTGTGCATAGTCTAAAACCAAGGACCTTTTATCCACAAAGTCTGGTTGTAGGTGAAAAATTGTCTACTCCGTTGGAAAGTGAAGCTGACTTAGTTCTGTCTGGTCTTTGGTACTGTTGGAATCTCTTCTTGCCTAAGCAAATGTTTTAAAGAGGAATATCCCCAGCCAGAAAGAGAGACTTCAAAACAAACAGAATGAAAACACAAATTCAGGACTGGATGTTGGGGGTGGGGGGGGGTCAATACCTTCAGCTGAGAAAATAATACTGCATAGGAAGATGTGCTCATGTTTAACCAGAACACCTGACTGGATGGTGTTTAGCCAAACACCTCACTGGACAGTGTATGTTCTCTTGTTGTGCCTTACCAGTGACATTGTTGGCTTCACTCAGCTATCCAGCACCAGCACACCTTACCAAGTGGTGGACTTCTTAAACAAACTCTACACTACCTTTGACGAAATCATAGACAACTATGATGTCTACAAGGTGGAGACGATAGGAGATGCCTGTAAGTTCCCTGTGCTGTGGGCAAGTGGGGATTTCATAAGAGGCTTAGGAGAAGAAGGGCTCAAAGCATAAGAATAACCAGTCCAGGGGATCTGAATAGCTCATTGCCGCATTAAGGACCAGAATAATTACATTTTGAGAGGGGAGAGTTCTAACACCGCCTTAACAATGAAGGTTCATTTCCCCCCCTACATGTCCATAGTATTCCATTAAACCTGACGAAAGGAGAGAAGTGGGTGGAGATGAACAAATCCTTCTGTGTTTGATTTTTGTGACCTGCAGGGTCCACTCTTAGATGCTGACAACAGATCAATCGTGGCTGGTTCACTTGATGGCTTGTGCTTTACAGAAATGTGTGACTCTCATATGAACCAATGCCAACAACCCATCCTCACCCCACACCTTCTGCCCAAGACTCCCTCTCCCAAATGTTATCATTGCTGTCTTCTCAAGCAGGGTGTGGTAGCCTTATCCTCCTTCCTACTCTGTATGGAGCTGGAGGCTCTCTCTCTGGGTTCTTTAGAAAAGACACCACTCATTCTTTCCCCCATATTGTAGGTTTGCAAGGGGTGGCTGCCACTTAAAGACTACTCTTGCACCAAATCTTCCAGGATCTTGCGGGCAATGGACTCTGAACCCTTAAATGTTAATGGTAGTGATGAAACACCTCTTGCTGCAGCAGCTGTTGCACACATTAGGGATCCCGAACATCTTAGCTAGCATTTGGTTACTCAAATGGATTCCTTAGCCACAGAGCTAGTGACTATCTCTGCCCTTGCTGCTCAGTGTAGGAGCCAGTTTCAGAAGGAATGGGAGAGGACTCCTGAGGGATTTGGGGTTCCTTGCCATTTCCTGGTGACCCCCACCCAAAGCTAGAAGAGCTGATACCCTCCGTGAGGCCCTGTGCCCCTTCTCCAGAGTCCTTGAATGTGGGGAGGGGTAAGAGGGAAGTCCAAAGTTTTGCACAGCTCTAGAAATTAATCCCTCAAGATATTATACTGTGTTTTCTGTCCTGGATTTGTTTCTGGAGTTTTTGCCCTAAACTTAGAGCTAACCCAGTGTGTGAAAGGGAAATAGGATTTTTTAGCTAAGGCCAGCATCCTTCTAGCAAATGCCTGTTTAAAATGACTCGTGTTGAAGGCTGATGAGGCTGTATTTTTGTTTTGAGACATGGTAGTGTCGGGGGTACCCAAAGAGAACGGTATTCGTCATGCCAGTGAAATAGCAAGTATGGCGCTAGACCTGGTGGCCGTGTGCAAGACATTTAGGATTCCGCACAAACCCAACACCCAGCTAAAGATACGAGCAGGAATCCACTCAGGTACGTGGCTAGGCTGCCATCTGGCAAATGTTTGTAATAGCGTCTCGTCTATGTAAAGATAGAGGGGAATTTTCAGCCATGGGCTGAGCCCCAGGTAGATCACCTTATCCTTAGAATCCAAGATCCTGTGACAAGGCAGTTACTGCTGAGTGGCAACTGTTGAGTTTTGAATGGCCCTCACCATCCCTCTGACGTGAATGCTTTTGCAAAGAGCGCCCCACCAGCCAGACTGGGAGGAGCAGAGCCCATTTGTGCCTCACAGAAGGAGAGAGAAAGCTGATGCTAATACAGGCCAGGGATGGTAATTTTGTTGCCATTGCTAGTCCCAGTTAGTTTGTTCGTGATCCCAAAAGAGTTTTTTCTCACATCCTTGACTCAGCTCCCACACTTATGCTTTCTCTGCTTCCTGATCTGGGTCACCATCTGATTTTCCCACTCATCTGCATGCCTGGTTGGCAATACGGAGTCTGGATTAGACCAGCACACATGCTGTGATGCTCAGCACTTTGGAATGCGGCCCCAACAAGACTATTACCCCTCGTTATCGCAACAACAGAGCAAACCCTTCTCAATTTAAAGCAGAATGGGCTGACATCACAGAACCAAAGCTAAGATTCAGTAGAGGAATACCTAGGAATAGAAAGCTCCTCTGCTATTGTCAGCAATATATGAGCTTGGTTCCTGCTCTTGCTTTTCCAGATGCTTAGTGCATGCAGGGCCAGCCTAAGGTATTTTTTGTGGGGCCTAGTGTGAACAGCTCCCATGGAGACCCTGTCAGGGGTCCACTTACCACGGTGGTGCCTCTTTACAGGGATTAGCTCCACCAGCCAGTATGCCCTCTCCTGATGGTGTCTCTCCCATCGTTGTCTCAGCCTGCAGATCCGCCGCAATCCAAGTACCACAGCGCCCTCTTCATGACTTGGCCCTCTGGCCATGTCACCATATCCATCTTTCCCCTGTCCAGGGGGGAAGTATCTCTGTCAGTAGTCCAGCCACTTCCCCAGTGGCGAGTGGGGGGGGTCCCAGGCCCACCCACTACTCCGGGTCCCAGCCCAGGGACCCTGTCAATGGCAACCACGTGCTGCATCTCCTCAACTCCCTTATGACTGCTATGCTTTCCTGGGCCCCTTCCCGGGCCCCCAGCACCTGCTCTGCCCTCACCTCAGAGCCTTCAGGCACTCCTCTGTCCACTGTACTAGCACTCCTTCCTCTAGCTAGGAACACACTCTTCCCTCCTTGAGCTCCAGACAGTTACTCACCCTGCTCTGCTCTGCGGCCCTTCTTATATAGGCCTGCTGGGCCCGGATTGGCTGCTTCTCACAGCCTCCCTCCTATTGGCCACTTCCTCACACAGCCTCCTTAGGCCTCTTTTAACCCCTTACATGCCAGTGTAGGGCAGACACCCCATCACAGACCCATCTAGCTCTCTGCTCATCTATGACCAGGCCCTCCTCCCCAGACCCTTCTGTGTACCCATAGCAACTCCTGCCTGACTGTGATCCCTCCATCCCAGCCCTCCCCTGCTCATGAGGCTCTTGGGCTTCTAGTGACTCACCTACATGGACCTGGAAGTCAGTAGTGGAGGTGAAGCACAACTTGTCAAATGCAGGGGATGATTAGGACAGTATCAGCATTTATACCTTGTTATGGTGCAATGCAACCAGACTGGACCACAAATGGGGAACTGGGGACACTGGACCAGAGCTGTGTGTGGCACTGGGCCCTGTGCAACCACTGAGGTTACATGAGCCTAAGGTCCATTCTGAGTGTGAGTTAAAAACATCTCCCAGAATATTTGGCTTTCTTTCCTTCAATAGGGCCAGTTGTAGCTGGAGTCGTTGGAACCAAAATGCCCCGGTACTGCTTGTTTGGAGACACTGTCAACACAGCTTCCAGGATGGAGTCCACCAGCGAGGGTAAAGAAAAGCCAAATGCTGGGGCAATGCTTAGCACATTTTAATGAGTTGTGGAGAAACAAAGGGCTGAGTTCTGAGTCCAGCCCTGGCTTAAGAGGGTGCAACTCCCAACCTCAGGAGGCTTTTGACTTGAGGGCTCAACTGTGCAGCCAAGATCCACAGACAGAGGGGAACCTACATGCATGGCTTTCCCCTCTTGTGAAAAAGGGGGCTCCACTGCCTTGTGACAGCCTCCCCTCTTCCTCCAGGCCCAAGAGAGGGGTCTCCAAGGGTCCAGAGCTCCTTGCAGGAGATGGGGCAGGCTGCAATCAGGCCCTGGAGATGCATAGGATTAGCAGGGAATGTTCATTGTTCATCCTCCTTCCCTGCTCTCAGCGGAGCTCATCGCAGAACAATAATATGTTCAATGGTCCACCCTCCTCAGTGTAGCTTCCCTTTAAATGGGGACTGCTAGTGACTACAGAAAGTTTGACAACCTGG